GCTACTTTTCACCAAGAGAAATCACTTTCTCTATGTCTTTGTTGAAGGATGGCAATTTTTTTGGTTAGAAATGCATTAAAACAGCATGATAAGAGGAAGTTTTAAAAGCCACTTTGCAAAATAAAAATTCAGTAAAATTCAAAAGGCCATAAAAGGCCTTGAAATTTTTGATTCTCATTATAGCACAGAATGTTGAGTTTTATTTGGCACATATTGTGGCAGAAAATATTGATGCTATTTCCTAAAATTCTTAATATAACAACATATCAATATTACACTATGGCCTTAGAGCACAAACATAATATCTACGATTCAATGCTAGTTGACACTAGCGTGTCATAGATGATATTTTTATAAATAACATGTTCTCTGTAATAAGTCAAAGCTAACTAGCTCAGGAGTAGTGAATAACTCTTGAATCCTTAAGATGGATTCTTTATATCATTCATAAGTAAGAGTTTCATGGCCAAAGCCTTGGCAAGTGTCTCAGGCTGAGACTCTAGAACGGGATGAATTGGAGATTTTGAAGTGCAGATTCGCATGCAAGGAATTTATTAAGAATCCATGGAGCTACATTCCAGTGCAGAAAGGAAAAGAATATAGGAATAGAAACTTAGAGAAGTGAAGACAGCTGTTTAATTAGAGTTCAGTGGACTTGGAGAGCTGGACCATTAGCAGCCTGGCCTGGGCATCAATGAATTTCGGGGTTCATTGGACTGGAAAGGGAGAACACCCTTAATGGTTCAGGGGAAGAAACCCCCAAGAGGCTGCCTGATGGCAATTCCATGTAGCTAAACAAGAAGTTCCTGATCCTTCACTGGGCCTGTGATTAATGCACCACAGTATCTACTACAAAGAATAGTTAACATTCTGAGGAAAAGAGGTTTTCATCACTAATTCCAGAGTATAAAATTATGTGAGTATGGATAACCAATGAGTAATGACTAAGATGTGGGTGAATATTCTTAAAGTTGGACAAGGATGACAAACTGCTGCACCTTGATGCACCTTGGTAAATTTCTCCTACTTCTGATCCTTTTATCTAGCAATATTCCTTCTCTCTCTCTCTCTCTCTCTCTCTCTCTCTCTCTCTCTCTCTCTCTCTCTCTCTCTCTCTCTTCTCTCTCTCTCTCTCTCTTCACTCAGATTCAGTATTCAAGTGGGAAAAGAGACAGAAGTAGTTGTCTTTTTGTTGTTGTTGTTGTTTGTTTTTCAAGACAGGGTTTCTCTGTCTTGTTTTGGAGACCAGGAGTAGTTATCTTAAAAATGCTGAAGTACAGAAAAATTTGGAAACACATAATTACAAACCTCCACTCCTTTTTCTAATGTAAGCACCAGAAATGATGTAATAGAGTTTATCATAAAGAAAAAAATTATATTAAATTGTATATATAATTTCGGTTTAGAATATAAGAAGCCATCTAAATTGTTATGGCAAGTTATAATTTTCCCATGGAACATAATGAGTTTCTATAGAGACAGCAATTATGATAAACAGTATAATGTCTTGTTATATATTTTATGACAATATTTGTGAGTGCTTTAATATTTAATTTCATTGTGTAAATGATGAGGGAAGTCCTTCTGTATATATGTTTCTCTTATTGGTTAATGAATAAAACACTGTGGTCAATAGAGGTAGGAAAATAGGCAGGGCTAGGAGATGAGAAGAATTCTGGGAAACACAGGCAGACTGAGTCATCATATAGAGCCTGGGAAGAGAAGCCATGCAAGGTGTTCTTTAGTAAGCCAAGACCAAGTGGAAATACATAGATTAATAGAAAAGGGTTAATAATTAAGACAGAGCTAGGCAATAAGAATCCCAAGCCACAAGCCAACAGTTTTATAATTAGTATAAGTCTCTGTGTGCTCATTTAGGGCTGAAGCAGTGGCAGGACCCTACCTGGTCAGAAAACTTCATTAACATGTAAAATGTGTCTAGACTTTATAGGTCATCATTCAACTGTTCAAAAAATATTTGTGAAGTGTACTTAGGAGAAGCACCAGTAATAAGACAGTGAGCTATACAAAAGTCCTTAACTGATGAAGTTCGTTAATAGAGGTGAAAAATATAGTATGAAAATTTACTATTACTAATGCTAAAGATTAAAACACCAGAAAAATAAAATAATTAGATTCATTAGTCATCAGTCAGTGGCATATGCTTTGCACAATGTCAAAATACTCTCTACTTTAGTAGAGTCTCACTGAAACTAAAAATAAACATCCATGTAATTGAAAAAGATCAGGATTTGGTATTTTTCTTTGGTAGTTTTCTGAAAAATCTACTAATGAAGTAATCTTGGTCACAAAAACCTATTGACATCATTAAGTTAAATCACAATTCATTTCTGAGAATATACAAACTCAGTCACTTTTATTTATATTTCCCAATTAGTTATAATTGTTATGGTATTATGTGTTTTCCTCTCAGGTTAGATATTTATCATTTATATGCCTAAGAAAGAATGCTATATTAAGATTCAAAAATTAGAATTCTAACCACAATTCTGGTAATTCCCCCTTTTATTTATTTTATTTTTATTTCATGTGTGTTTGCTGTTTTGCATGTAGTGCTGTACAGCATTTGCCTGGCTTGATCTCAATGGAAGCACTAAGATGGAGTTAGAGTCTGTAGAATGATGCTTACAGACAGATGTAAATTACCACGTGGGTGCTAGAAAGCCGACCTAGGTACTCTGAAAAAGTAGCCAGAGCTCTTCTTTTTTTTAACATTCTTTTTATTTTTCATGTCTTTCACGTTATGCATCTTGATCTCATCCATTTACCTGCCCCTTTGCATCTGCCCTCTGCCCATGCATATCCCCTCCATAAAACAAACGTTAAGAGAAAAAAGAAAAAATGTAAAAAGGAGAAAAATTTAAATATTGTCATGGAAGTTGCAGTGTGGCACAGTGAGTCAGTGAGTCACACCACTAACACTTTATCCATTTATCTTTACTTGCATGTGTTCGTTGCAAAGAGTCCATGGGCTATTCTATGTCTCTGGTTTCTAGTACACTATCAAAGCTGAACCCTCAATAGGACTCTTCTTGGACATCCTATTATTGCCCTGTGTTGTGGAGATTGTGCGCTTTTGGGTCTGTGGGTTAGGTTCCTACACTACAAGCTCCAGTAGGTCATAGATGGGATGGATGTTGGGGCAGGTCAACTTATAACCCTGGGTCTGGGCCTGCCCAGCTGTAAGGCTGGTCTACAAAATGAGAAATGGGACAGTGCCCCCACGTTTACAGTTTCAGAGTTGGCTCACCCACAATTGGTTGGTTCTATTGTGCTATTCTGGTAAAGTGTAGGGTCTGCTCTTCCAAGTGTTGCAGTTGGTGGGGGTCAGAGATGTCTCTCCCACCTGGTTCAGATATTGATGGGCAAAGGAGGGTGTTGGGGGTGGGGCCTCATTCCCCTGTCAACATTACCACAAGACACATGAGGAATGGGGACATCTCTCCCTTATCTCTTTCACGTTCACAGCTTTGGGGCTGCTTTACACACACCTCTGCTAACAAGGTCGACTTTATTGTACAGTACAAGTGGTTGCTAACTTATGGTGTATTTAATTTAATTTGACAATACCCCAAAATAAACCAAAGTCTGTTCACTCATACACATAATTTGTATGTGTACACGTGTTGTGTGTGTGTGTGTGTGCATTCTTGAGACAAAAGAGATTATTACTTCAAGTACTAAGTTTCAGTAAATTATCCATCATATTCTAATAGTCTAAATATCCATTCTTGGGAATTTTTTTGGTACACAGAAAACAGTGGTAACTTCTCTTCACTCATACGGAAAACAGCCATGTCATATTAACTAATATTTGGGGTCTTTATGCCTTCCATTTGCTACACAAACAACCAGTCCTAAAATTGTAAGCATTATCTTACTACAAAAGGAGAACTTTGTTTTAGAAAGCCATTTGCTTTACTATATGGTAAGGTCAAATTAACCAAATAGTTCTCCCATAATGTAAATTAACTGATAATTTATTATCACAGTACTTGTGAATGTCAGAGCATAGAATACCAAAATATAGACACTCAAAATAAACACTCAATTATTTTTAATAAGTAAATTAGAATGATGATATGTAGTTATAAAATTTTAGACAACTATGATTCATGTCCATTAGTTTAAGGATATTCATTTCATAGATATCTAGTAATTCAGACATTTTAGGATTTTATTTCATAAAATAAAGGATAGTCACTGCTGTTTTCGTAAAGCTTAAGAGACAGACTATAGAAATGATCTACAATGGGAGCTGCTGTGTCTCTGACTCTTTGATCTTCTCTTGGGACTCTTTTCCTCCTATTGGTTTGCCTTGTCCTTCCTCCTATTGCTTTTGTCTTGTCTTACTGTATCTTGTTTCATCGTGTTTGGTTGTTGTCTCTTGAGGGCTGCTCTTTTCTGAAGAGTAACAGAGGGGATACATACCTGAGGAGGAGAGGAGATGGGTAGGAGGAGTTGGGAGGAGTGCAGGGAGGGGAAATCTATGGCCTGGATGTATTGTATGAGAGAAGAATTTATTTTCAATAAAAAAATCAAACTTAATTGAATCTATCTCGAGTTACCTCAGCCTAATGACAGAGCCCTGGCTAATATCTGTTACCAATGAAGCTTTGAACTTTCATTAGAATATGTCTTCTATCTTTTTTCTCAGAGTGAAGAAAAAAAAAAACATCACTTAGGTAGTCTTGAGTTTAGTAAAGGGTTTCAGGTTACTTGTTTGAGGTATCCATTTTTAAGAGGATAAAAGGAGTGGAACAAAATTAGCCCAGGGGAGTTAGTCATGACCAAGGAAAAACCAAGAGTGATCACAACAAAATGTCTCAGGGGTAATTGAAAAGCATTACTTGGGGTGTGGGAGTACATACACCACGACGATGAGGAGGAAAGGGGTTATTAGCTAAGCCATTGTCTAAAACCCACTGAATCACTGGTCCCTTTCAATCATGATTGGTCCCTTTTTTTCTAAAGATGGGTTTTAAATGTTAGAAGACAATCTGAAGAACAGAATTGAGAAAGAAAGGGACACAGATCTTACAAAGGATCAAGGTAAGATATCAAATCTTTTGCTTTGATATTTTAAGAACCAAATTCTGATACATGACCATGGTCACCCTGGTGTGTGACTATGTCCGTAATGTGAAATACAGTGGGAAATTTTACAAGTAGAAGCAAGAGATAAGACGTGTCCACCAGTTACAGTATGTATTGCTAATGCTTTTTTGCCTTCTCTGTTTCCTGGATTAGAAAAACAATGCTGCAACCACTACAGTTAATCCTCATGAGTATTATCAGACTTCTAATGGAAGTTTTCTCTTTGGCCTGGAACTGTTAGGTTTTTGTTGTGATACATTTTTACTGCAGGCATTAAGATTTTTCTAATAACAAGGAACCTAGTAAATTAATCCCAGGCAGGGGGCTCCATGGATTGGAGGATGCATTCCCTTCAGTAAGAGTCTAGCAGTGATACTGCCACATCACCTGCCACCAAAATGAGCTTTAAGGCCAAGCAAACAATTTTCCCATAAATATCTATATTGAGAGATAGTCATAAAGATAACGTTTTTACTGTGAGCCATAAAATGTTAAGTAAATACAGAGAAACTTACTCAATTTGACAATGTCATCTGATGAATCTTGCCATGCCTTTATTTTTGTCAAGAAATTTTAAGCAAAGAGTATCTTCTAAAGCAGTATTACAACTCATCATGTAGGTATATCATCTGAAAATGAAATTTTTTATACTTCTTGGACTCATAGGAGCTACAACAGCAGCTCCGGTAAGTGATTCATGACATTTTGATTTCATCAGGTAAACCTATGCAATTTCCCCTCCTTCATAATTTTTCTTAATTTTCTTTTTAGCTTGTGTCACAGCGCCTATTGTCTGCTAGCAACAGTCATGAGGTTAGTTTATGTAATTAAACCATTAGCCTGTGTTCTGTAAGTGCAAACAAGTTGCAAAGACAAAAAAGTCTGCATCCAGCCCACTAGGTCTTAAGCAGCTCCAAACGTATTTCCAGGCTGCATGGTTGCTTTGTCTACCAGATGGCTTCTATAGAGTTGTTTTGTCTTCCTTATGTAAACATAAATTCTCTAAACATAGTATCACCTGTATTCTTTGTTCCAGTAGTACTAATGTGGGTACTAAATATATATGTATAAATATGAACTACAAAACCACTGGGTTGAACTAAAACTGGGCAGTCTCATTGACTTTGATGATCTCCCATGGGAGGCCTCAACCTCCCTGAGGAGTGGATGGGGTTGGGATGGGGAGATGGTAGGGAATAGGAGGTCAAGAGGGAGAGGGAACTGAGATTGGTATGTAAAATAAGACTTTTTAATTTAAATAAAATTAATTTTAATAAAAGCACTATATTCCATAGACAAGAAATCGAGGAATAAATATGCAAATACTTAGGGATTAAAATGTGCAAGACATTTTTTGTATACCACCTTCTTACAACAAACATGACTATTCTTTATTAACAACAATCATGAAATTACAAACAACCACAACAACAAAAAAGGTTGGACCTTGTTTTCAACTCTAATCACTGTAATTAAATGCTGTCTTACTGGAGAAATGTGTCACTTCACACTGGAAGCAAATCAACTAGCTCTGACTTGTGCTCTCTCTAGAAAACATTTCAGAATGCATAGTCATATCATTTTCCCATTGTTTCTCCTTTTCTAGTTACTCCTGAGTCTGAATAATGGTCGACTTTTGCCACTGCAATTTCAGGTACTGCTATATAAATTTCAGTTCAGAGGGAATGTGCCTTTAATGAGCATTTCTTAGGGTATGGGATGAGAACAAAATGCATCCATTTGCATTGTTAATAATTTTCTATGTGCCTGGTGCTAATTCTGAAGAGTTTTGAGATAGTTAACTATTTTAAACAAAGTCATATCTGGCTAATCTTGAGGAAAAAGAAAGAAAAAAATTAGATACAGTCAAACTTTTGAAGAAATGTGTGCCAACTGAAGGCATTCCGTATGTCTCATGACAGTTGACAGCCTCACAATTTGTGAGGATCATAAGCAGTTGAAATGTTGTCTTTTCATAACACTTGAAATGTATAAATTGCCTACATTTTTGCCTTTATTGCTCAGGCTTAACTTCAAGTTCCTTTTTTAATATGAAGGAATAATATTTCCTTTCTATCTTTGTTTTTCACAGGGTGCATTTAACCCCTGGGTGCCTCCCTTCCCTGGGTTTCTGCAGCAGCAACAGCAGCAGCAACAGCAGCAAGCTCAAGTCCCAGGACTCCCACAGATCCCACTCTCAACACTAGAGAGCTTTGCTGGGCTATTCACAAATCAGATGCCTTTCTCAGGACAGACTGGGTTTGCTCAAGGAGGTCAGGCTGGTCAACTAGATCTCGCACAGCCACAGACACCACCCCAGAGCCAACAGGTTGCTAACCTTGTAAGTCTGTCTTCTTCTGTCTTGCTGCTGTGAAGACAGAACACAAAGGTTGTTGTGAATTAGCTTTGAAATACAGCAGGAATCTTACTAAGTCTTATTTCTCCGTGCTGTTACAACCAACACTGAAAATATCTCCTTATATTTTCTGACTTTTTAAATATAAAAGTAACATTAAAATCAATTAACCTAGAATATAGTCTGCAATCAGGAGCTAAAACAACATGGGGATGCATAATTTGCACAAATTATAAGGAATGCAGAAGATAAACTTTAGTGGAATATTGCTAATGCAAACGATACAGGGGAAGCTGGCTCTAGGAAAATCAGACTAAGGATTTTAAATAACAAGTCAGGTATGATTTGCTTATATGGTTTTCTGGGTTTGCTTGTTTGTTTTTTTTAGATGTCCTATGTGGTTCCCTTCAGAGGGCCTCAAGATCAAACACAGGTGAGCGAAAAGAATTCTGTGACTAACACAGAAGTTGCTCGTGCCACTTCCTCTTGTTTCCTGAGTCTCCAGCATCAGGGCTTTCACACCTGTGGACCACCCATCACTGGCTAGAGGCTCCATCACTGGCTTCTAGACATCTGTTGATGCTGGACTTATTTGATTCTTTAAGAACAGGCAGCTTAAAAGGATCTCTAGGACCCTTGAGTACCTATGGCATCACTATGCAGAAGGCAAGGAGTTCAGTATAGCCAGTACATGTCTTCTCTGTATTTAAGTGCTAACACTGGGGAATAGTTAAAGAGCAATACCATGAGTGAACTTTGTGCCCTCTCAAATTTGGTTTCAGTGAATCTCATATTTAGATCTGATATGTAGGTATAAATAACAAACATTGTAGTAACTATATTTTTATTATAAATTTTACTGATATGCATTATTCATCTGTTACAAAACTCCACTGGACACTTTTCCAGCCTCTTGTATGCACATTATAATTAACTTAATATTTCCCTTTAATAAGAAAAGATTAAATTTTTGTTAACTAATAAATGTATTATGTTAACATAGAAAACCCTGTTGATATTAGGACAACTGTTTAATTCTTCATATTCAAAGAAACAGGGCTATATATAAATTGTTTTTCACTTGAAGACTATTGACTTGTTAAAACACAATTACACTGCTTGCCTCTTCTATACGTATAATTATGCAATTAAGTTTCACACTCACGGCCATTGCATAATAACACAATTCTAGACATTATCTCACTGTATATCCTAACTATGTAGACTCAGAAATGTGACAAATACAATTACTTCATTTTAAGGACCAGGACACATAGTTTTAATGAGATTAAGTATCTTATCCCAATGAACTAAATAGCTGAAATAGAAGTCAATCCTTTACCCCCTTTTTAACCACTAATCCAGTAGTTCTCTATTCTGGCTTTACATCAAAAGCTTAGTGGGCAATTTTGAAAATTGCAAATGCCTAAGCTCTACCTTAGCCCCAAGGTGTCACTGACTTGACCAGACAAAAATTGTTAGGTTTCTGAATACTTAATGGGTGTTTTTTTTACTCTTATATGGGATAAAAAAAACTATGAGTCAAATTGTATTCATTTCAGAAACATTGCTGCAATTATTTTCAAATGTTATATTGAACATAATCATATAATGATACAAAACATGAAACAACATTTAAAAATGCACACATGTTATGCTCCTTAGTTTCCATACATTCCTTATGTGCACACACATGGAGCCATACCTAGAAACCAATATATGACAATATAGATGGTGGTGTTTTTATTTATTTATTGTTTCCTGGATTTCTCTATTCTAAAACTAAAGATTGTTCTTAAAATACATTTAGATATTTAGTTTATGTCTGTGAGTGTTTTAACTACGTGAATGCATGTGTACCATGTGCATGCAGTTTCTCAAGAAGTCAGAAGAGGCCATTGGATGCCTTAAAACTGGAGTTACTGATGGCTGTGAGGCACCATGTACATGCTGACAAGCAAACCCAGGTCCTCCACTGGAGGAACCAGTGCTCTTAATCAATGAGCTCTCTCCATCACCCAAGAATTACCATAATAAAATGGAAATCATTAAGAATTTAATTTGATTTCTTTTTCACTCACTGTGGCTGAACTTCTAATATCAAGTTCTGTAGAATTACAATTCTCAAAATTAAAGAAAAAAATACTACATTGACTATTCTCTCCTTGAATGATTACATATTAACCTATGTCTAACATTTTCAAGATGCTATTTGTTAAAAGGACACATGCTTCTTTTACTTAGTTGAATCTACTATATCCTAATTTGTTTAAGCATGAAACTTTAAAAAATGAAGTCCAGTACCATCTTTGGTACAAGTTTATTTTAAATTTGACAACCACTTTAAATCTGCTATGCACACATCAATTTTTGCTTGGGTTGGTAGTTCATACCTCTAATACCAGCTTTAAAATATTACTGACATTAAAAGAGTGAAAAGTGTACTTCTGTGTTTACAAATAGATGTTTGGGTACTACCCAGTTTACATGCTTCTTCCCTGGGAGCAACCTCAACAAACGGTCACATCATCGCCCCAGCAAACAGGACCACAGCTCTTTGAGGAACAGGTACTTCAAGGGTTTGGTTTCAATCTGATTTGTTCAATTTCAGAAAAAGGGAAGTACATGAGAAAAGAAAATGGAGGATGGTTAGTGCATGGACTCAGCCACTTGATCTCACAGAACAGGGTGATGTGTCTCCCCTAGTTGCACACTATAGACTAATTTGGCAATACATTAAACCTATAATTTCAAGGAATTAGGTAAGTTAATGATTCTAATAAAACCACATTCAAAACTTATTTTTTTCTGAATTGGATTATTTCACATTCAGAATCTACAAGTATTATTTATTTATGTACAAATATGTATATGTGCTTATTATGAAAATAGTAAAATATAAAAGATTGCAAAGAAAAATACTTGTGGTCACTGGAACTTGAAATACAATTTGATAACCACGTATTCAACTTTCTAAATCAATCACAAATTTTGAGAATTTAATTTAAATTCAAATCTCTCATAATATGTGTTAAAAAGATATCTTAAAATTTAATGATGATTTTTGCAAACTAAAACATGTGGACTTCCAAAAGCCATTTAACTATTGTAAAACATATGCAATTTTTAAGTAATCATTTCTCAGAAATTTATTACAAAATCATTATGATAAATCGAATACCTTTTTCAAAATTCTGACAGATTCCATTCTATAATCAATTTGGATATGTACCACAACAAGCAGAACCTGTAAGTAAATGCATAATTTTAATATCTAAAATACATATGTGGAACTACTTGCTTCTCTAGTATCTTTCAGACAGAAAGCATCAAGAACACACTTCTAGATGGATGAAGTTAGAATTACCCACACATTGCTAAGGGAACATACATAAAAAAACAGAGAAAGATTTCTTATAAGGACTTACAGAACTTGCATTGGATGGTTTTGGAAGGAGAATACTCACCTTGTATCCGCTCTGCAATGCACTTGCTCAGAAAGTGAGGGGGTTTCTCTGAGTGTCTCAGGGGTTAGATAGAAGGTAAGGAAACAAGTCTGAGGCTGTGACTGGGGAGCAAGTCACTAGTAGTAGCCAGGATGTGAGGACACTTGTACTTGGTCTCTTGCATGGCTCTTTTGATGACCTTAAGAAGTCTCATATTCCAAACTTTATCTTGTTTAGAAACAACCTTCCCTGAGGATGATGCTTTACTGTTTTCCACACCTGAAGCAGACCTGAGTGTCAGAGCAGTTTTCTCCAACCTACAGTTGTATTTCTCTTTCTCATATCTAAACACTTAGGACACTGGAGTGTGCTTGATTGCTTTGGTTGGCAAACAAATGCATACTGATCCATCACTGATGTAACCATCCCTAACTTTCTGCTTCTTCAGGATGTACAAGGAGGACAGCAGCATTTAGCTTTTGGCACCTTTGTAGGCACAGCTCCTGAAAATCCTGGGATGGTAAGATTCCTTACAAAACCTTGCAGTAACTAGAAATTTACAAGTTAGAATAATAAATGTTGCTTCAGTAGTATTCATTTTAATATAAACACTGTCTTAGTTAGGGTTTAATTGGGGTGGCTCACTTAGAGTTTCAGATATTCAGTCTATTATCGTCATCGCAGAGAGCATGGTGGTGTGCAAGCACATATAGTCCTGTCTACTTCCTAATCAGAAAGCAAAATAGAGTAGATTCGGACACTGGACAAATCTCTTGAGTATCTTGAGCATAGGAAACCTCAAATACCTCCCCCACAGTGACACACTTCCTCTAGCAAGTCCATTCCTACTCCAACAAAAGCATTCCCTATGAACTTCTAGGAGCCAGTTAAATTCAAACTATCACCACTGCTACAATTACATCAACAATCTTCCCCCTGTAATCTTTGTTAGTCAAGATCTAAATCATTCAGTTCCTCAACTATTTACTGAGAAACTTTTTCCAGGGACCCTTCTGTTCACCTTATTTGAAAGCTGGGGCATTTTTGACAGTTGACCACTTGGACAAGGAAAGTCATTTAGTCACTGATTGCTAACCCATGTATTAATGAATGACCCAAACTAATGTGTCTAATAACACTACTTATTGAATGTAGTAGAGTATGTTAGAAAAAGAAGGAGAGGAGGAGAGAAGGAACAAGAGAAAAGGAGGAGGAGAAGTACCAGAAGTTGAGCAGGAGACATGCTAGGCGACTCCAGAGTAAGTTAGAAGGGAAAATGTGGGGTGAATATAATCATAACACATTGCATAGGATGCAAATGTATGATGCTCTCAAAGAATAAATTATGAAATAGTTATTAACATACCACTGTATGAAGTATAATCACAACCTTTTTTAGCTAAAAAAGTAATATAGGCATATATTGTTTAAAGTGATGCCTGATTGTGACTCTCAGCCCTTTAGCTTCATATTCTTCCAAGTTTTAAACATGTACTTAAAGCTGTAACCACTTTGCTCTTAATTTCTAAAGCCAACAGAAGGAGGGCCGCTGTATTCCCAAAGGGAACCAGTCAACTTTAAGCTTGACAATGCAGGAGTTTTTATGCCTGCAACTTCACCAAAACCCAACATTGACCATGTTTTCACATCTGCAATAGACTCAACCATTGCACCAGTACTTCCAGAACAGAAGGTAGAGTAACAAAATATCCATTTTATGCAATAAATTATTCTCTATGGTCTAAGTAAGAACTTGATTTGTAAGATCAGACATCGTAGTAAAAGTACAGGTAAGACAATATCTGTCCTTAACTATGAATAAAACAGCTTACAAGTATTATTTTAAAACCACATATCAGGGTGTAACTTGATTTTAATTTTAATATGAGCTTCTTGTGAATGTTCTTTCTCACTAGGCCAAGACTGATGACATAAGAGAACCTTAAGACATTGTTTTAATCAATTTTTGGTAGGTATTTTTTGCCAAAGTTATAGGTTAAATGACCTGACAATTCTTAACAAAAAATTCACCAAAAAATTAACAAAGAATTCTTAACATAATGATCATGGACAAACAAATTAGTGTATATATCTGCCTGCAAAGACCATACCAAATATGAGATTTGCCTATGTTTTACAAACCAAAATTAATTTTTATGATGTGAGTAACGTAAACACTGAGTATATTGCTTCTTTATAAAAGAAATTGCATGCTCTCTACAAAGTCAGTACTCCCAAGTCATCTTCTCAATTTCCATGCTAAACATTGTAATAATGTCAATATCCCATTGTTTTAAAGTGTTAAAATAATAAGATAATTGTATAATGACAGAGAAATTCCAAAAGTAATTAGATATATCCTAAATATATTCATGATTAGATGTTTGTCTAAATGAACTTTTTTGGCTACTGAGACTGCATTATTAGTTTATTAGAAAGGCATCTTCGAAATTATACTACAAATAAAAATACACATAGAAAGGCATGAAACATCATTAAATGAGTAAACTAAAAGATAAAGTGTTCCAAATTTATCATGAACCTATTCTGATTGTTCTGGAAGAAGCAACATTGAGTAATCTTCAAATGAAAAGGGACAGTACGAACATAGTCAGGAGAGTCAGGAGTGAGGAACATCTATTCATCTTTAGAAAGTGCCTCACTCATGTGCTATTTGTATCATGCAAATAAATTCAGATTATTGTGCCAAAAATTTAAAGGTATTTCGGTACAGTGTGAGCTTCCATCAGTGTAAAACTTCCAATGAGATGTTTTTGTTTCTTTAACAACCAAATTCCAAAATAGCCAAACAATTTTATTCAAAAGAAACTACTAAACTTTGCTCTGTCTTGCTTTCAGGAAGAAGATGTGATGGTACCTTGGCTATCTTTTAGATAATTTTCTTTTTCTGCGCTAATGGATATTTGTTTAATGGTATAAAACTTCTTCACTAGTCTCCTAGTTTTTCTTTACTTATTATACTTTTCACGTCACAAAAAAAAAGAACTCACCATGTAGTAAGTTCTATCGTTAAATGGCTATTTTTTCAAAGATTCTATTATTACGATTATATAATCTCAAAAATAGCAATACTAAAAGAAAGCCCATAACAGTAAACTATTTTGATAACTGTATTAATAAAGGATACAATTAGTAAAATTGTGTCATTCGAGAGAATAAACGTGTATTGTCAATAGATTTATTGTGAGTGTGGTGACTGATAATAATGAGATAAATTGTGTGTCTATCTTTCTCCCGACATCTGTTTTTCCCAGGCTCATTCTGTCAGCTTGCTTATGACTCATACTCCATGAAAATCAAACTTATTTTGTTCTGCTTTGCTTTGGATGGTTTGTTTGTTTGTTTGTTTATTTGACAGGGTCTCCCCCTGAAACCTTGACTGTTCTGGAACTTAGTAGGTAGATGAGGCTCACCTTCAATTCAATAAAGCTGTCCCTGGCCCTCCAAAAAGGTTTTTGAAACAAATATTGGCTCTCAATATACCACAACTCCATAGAAAGATGGGTGCTGAAATCAAAAGAACAAAAGGAAGATGTCTGCCTTCTTGGGGAAACAGTAACCTACAGACACTGGGATATAGAGTTTGGATTTCATCACATTTAGTTCATTATCATCATAGTGCAACAAGGTAGCATGTAGACAGACATGATTCTGGAGCAGTAGTTGAGAGTTCTACATCTTGACCTGGAAGCAACAGGAAGTGGTCTGAGACACAGGGTGTTTCTTGACATTATTAGACCTCAAAGCCTGCCCCCATGCTTCCTACAACAAGGCCATACCTACCCTACTAAAGCACACCTCCCAAAGGTTGCCAATTACTTCCAAACAACCACACATGTGAATCTGCATACATTAAAGGAAAGATGAATGAGTTAATAAATTGATACATACTATGTTATTTAAAAATGTGTCTTCTTGGTTCTATGATGATCATATTTTGTAGGATCATAGCTGTTTCTGCATTTAGTAGTGTTGTAACTCTAAAATCTACTACTTGCTCTATGGAAGAGCAACCCATTAATCACCTACTTGTGCCTTAATTTTATTCTGTGTACTTTTCCTTGAGTTCATACAATGAAGGAATGTAATTATCAGTGTTTGGCTGGGCTCTTAGTATCAGACATGACAAAAACTGAGATGTAAAGCAGAGCAGTCGTAGCACATGACTTTAATCCCAGCACTTAAGAGACAGAGGCAGGCCAATCTCCATGAGTTTGAGGCCAGCCTGAGTGAGTATCAGGAGAGGCTCCAAAACTTGCCTATCTCAAAAATCAAATCAAATCAAAACAAAACGAACAAGCTATAATACTCATAGTGCTAAGAGCAGTATGTTCCAAAAATTCCATCCATTCAGAAAATAGTTTTTAAATTTACATGATGTAATTCAAATCAAGTATTGAAAATGCAATCTAGAATACACTATACCAAGTATGGTATAGATTCTCTGTTTAAGACAACAGTGGAGAAGTTAGAAAAAAGTGTGCAACCAAATGTGACTTTGAATCAGCTTAGGGCTTAGTGATATTAGGAATGTAATTACAGACACTTTACTTTTTCAATTTATGTGTTGTTCTTTGATGGACTAAGCAGTGGCAAACAAGATCTGAGTGTTCCATTGAGCACGATTTTAGATGCTTCCAGCATCTGACTCAATGCACTGATATTCTGGCCAGTCTACCTCTCTACTTTCTGTGCTAGAACAATACACATGAATTCTCCCTGTTCCATTTATCTGTATCAAAAAATTACATATACTTCTCAGTCCTGGTTTCTTTTACTAAACAATGTATTTTTGTGATTTATTCCTGATGACATATTAATTTGTATGAATATATAACTCAACTTCTTTATCCAAGAACATTTGAAGTGTATTCAGTTACCCACCATTATCAATAAAGTTGCCATCAGTGTTCTAGTTCACAGTTTTATTAATAAATATGTATTTTACAACTCTAGATTTATTAGACAGTTTATAACAGTTTGTAAGTGTGGTTGTAACCCATACCTAGCATGGATATAGTGTACATAAATTCTAGCCCCTGTATCTAATAGCCAATATTGAAAATTGCAAATTCCATTAGTTCTTTCACACACACATTAAATGTTAACTTTCACAGCATTTAGCTTAAGTTCTCTCTTGTTTCTCTCTAGACTTACTGCATGAACAATTCTATTCCACCTTTAGGTAGTGTTTCTTTTTTTTTTATTTTCCAGTTTAAATTTAGATAAGAAACGAGGTTGTTTCACAAGTCAGTTCCAGGTCCCTCTCCCATTCCCTTTCCTCCTCCCGTGCCCTCCCCCAACCCCCCCGTTATCCCCTCATTTCCCCAGGGAGGGTGAGGCCCTCCATGGGGGTGCACATAGTCTGTCATTTCATATAGGGCAGGGCCTAGACCCTTCCCCAAGAGTTCAGGGTGAGAGTGCACCTCACATTGTTCTATGGGAGTCCAAAGTCCGTGTGTATACTTGAGATGGGTACTGATCTGCTGCCCAAGGCTCAATAGATTCCCTAGGCCTGCTCACTGACACCCAGATTCAGGGGGTCTTGATCAGTCCCATGCTGGATTCCCAGGCTGATGCCTGGGATTCAAGAGTTAACCTTTGTCTGGTCAGCTGTTTCTGGGGGTTAAACCAGCCCAGTCTTAATCCCTTTGATCATCAGTCCTCCCTCTCTGTTACTGGCTTTCTTGAGTTCAGCTCAGTACTTAACCAAGGGAGTCTGCCTCTTCTTCGATCAGCCACTAAATGAAGTTTCTGTTTCCCAGACTCTCTGGCCATAGGATTGTAGGCTGGCACTCCCCAGATCTATGTCTAAAATCCATATATGAGAGAGTACATGCCATGTTTCTCTTTTTGTGACTGGGTTACCTCACTCAGGATGGTTACTTCTAGTGTCATCCATTTGCCTGCGAATCTCATGATTCCATTATTTTTTTCTGATGAATAGTACTCCATTGTGTAGATGTACCACATTTTCTCTATCCACTCTTTGGGTGAGGGACATCTAGGTTGCTTCCAAGTTCTGGCTATTACAAATAAAGCTGCTATGAATATAGTGGAACATACATCTTTGTTGTATGAATGGGCATCGTTTGGATATATGCCTAAGAGTGGAGTTGCTGGGTCTTGTGGTAGGTTTATTCCCATTTTTCTGAGGAATCTCCATACTGATTTCCAAAGTGGCTGAACCAGTTGGCACTCCCACCAGCAATGGAGGAGTGTCCCCTTTCACCACATCCTCTCCAGCATAAATTGTCATTGGTGTTTTTGATTTTAGCCATTCTGACAGGAGTGAGATGGTATCTGAGAGTTGTTTTGATTTGCATTTCCCGGATGGCTAAGGATGTTGAGCACTTTCTCAAGTGCCTCTCAGCCATTTTAGACTCCTCTATTGAAAACTCTCTATTTAGTTCTGCAGCCCACTTTTTAATAGGGTCCTTTGGTGTTTTGGAGACTTGCTTCTTGCGTTCTTTGTAAATTTTGGAGATCAACCCTCTGTCAGATGTGGGATTAGTGAATATTTTTCCCATTCTGTGGGCTGCCTTTTTGTCTTGCAGACTGTGTCCTTTGCCTTACAGAAGCTTCTCAGTTTCAGGAGGTCCCATTTATTAATTGTTGATCTCACTGTCTGTGCTACTGGTGTTATGTTCAGGAAGCTGTCTCCTGTAACAATTCGTTCAAGGGTACCACCCACTTTCTCTTCTAAGAGGTTCAGTGTGGCTGGATTTATGTTGAGGTCTTTGATCCGTTTGGATTTAAGTTTTGTGCATGGCGATAAACATGGATCGATCCGCATTCTTCTACATGCCAGAATCCAATTATGCCAGCACCATTTGTTGAAGATGCTTTCTTTATTCCATTGTATATGTTTAGCTTCTTTGTCAAAGATCAGATGTTCGTACGTGTGTGGGTTAATACCCGGATTTTCAATTCGATTCCATTGGTCTACCTGTCTATTTTTGTGCCAATACCAAGCTGTTTTCAGGACTATAGCTCTATAATAGAGCTTGAGGTCAGGGATGGTGATGCCTCCGGACGTTGCCTTGTTGAACAGGGTTGTTTTGGCTATCCTGGGTCTTTTGTTTTTCCATACAAAATTGATTATTGTTTTTTCAAGGTCTGTGAAAAATTGTGCTTGGATTTTAATGGGGATTGCATTGAATCTGTAGATTGCTTTTGGCAGGATTGCCATTTTTACTACATTGATCCTACCTATCCAAGAGCCTGGGAGATCTTTCCATTTTCTGAGGGCTTCTTTAATTTCTTTCCTTAAAGATTCAAAGTTCTTATGATACAGGTCTTTCACTTGTTTGGTTAGCATTACCCCCAGGTATTTTATGTTGTTTGTGGCAATTGTAAAGGGTGATGTTTCTCTGATTTCTCTTTAAGCCCTTTTATCATCTGTATATAATAGGGCTACTGGTTTTGTTGAGTTGATCTTGTAGCCTGCCACTTTGCTGAAGGTGTTAATCAGCTGTAAGAGTCCCCTGGTAGAGTTCTTTGGGTCATTGATGTAAACTATCATATCGTCTGCAAACAGTGAAAGTTTGACCTCTTCCTTCCCAATTTGTATCCCCTTGATCCCCCTTTGTTGTCGTATGGCAATAGCTAGAACTTCAAGTACCATGTTGAAAAGGTATGGAGAGAGTGGACAGCCTTGTTTTGTTCCTGATTTTAGAGGAATTGCGTTAAGTTTCTGTCAATTTAGTTTGATGTTGGCTGTTGGTTTACTGCATATAGCTTTATTATGTTTAAGTATGTCCCTGTTATCCCAGATCTCTCCAAGACCTTTATCATGAAGGGGTGGTAGATTTTGTCAAAGGCTTTTTCAGCATCTAGTGAGATGATCATGTGAATTTTGTTTTTCAGCTTATTTATATGGTGGATTACGTTGATGGATTTTCGTATGTTGAACCATCCCTGCATCCCTGGGATGAAACCTACTTGATCGTGGTGAATGATTGTTTTGATGTGTTCTTGGATCCGATTTGCCAGTATTTTATTGAGTATTTTTGCATCAATGTTCATGAGGTATATTGGTCTGAAGTTCTCTTTCTTAGTTGTATCTTTGTGTGGCTT